AAAAAAATAAGTCGGATTTTAACGGTTGGGCAGAGAACCAGAAGCTGGTAACACTGCATAGTCAGGACCATGCGTCCCTTTAAAAGTCCCTTTTGGGTCCTGTTTTTTTTTTCTCCCTTCCACGTTCTCTAGTTCCTGTCAGGAGTTCCTGAGATGAGACAGACTTGACTGAAGATAAAAGTGAGGAAGCCTCAGTGTTTCCCTCCCTCAGGGCCTGTTTGAGATACAGCGGAGACACTCAGTCCTCTGTCAGAGTGAAGAACTTCCTGCAAAGGGCTGTTACTGCGCTTTCTAAGATGCTCTTAGAAAACCTGGAAGGGCCCTAAATAATTCTCTGTCTCCTTCAGGGTCTAGGTGACTGGGTGTGTGCAGTCAATGGCTTTTAGACCGCTGATTACGCTGACACTAATGGCTCAATTAAAACACAGATGTAACTCTCAGGTATCATCCATTTCAAGGGGAATAAAGTAATCTCGGTAGGGGGGAACCCTTCAGCTACTTCCTAAATTGCTAACAGCACATTTCCCTTCCTCTTCTAAAAGCCATTTCTCCAGAGAGCACACCCTGTCTGGAGTGTCTTCTCCAGTCTCACTGGGGAGCTCTCAGGCATTTCTAATGTAAACCTCCATCAAGAGTCAGTCACAAGGCAAAACCCGAAAACCTGCAGCTTCTTCCCCGTGGTCCTCAAGTCTTCTGGGGAAGCTGTGTGACTGCCTGGTACCTCTAAGGGGATCTGCGGGTCTGCTTGACCTGAGGGCTCAGGTTCACACAACCCGCAGCCAGCAGAACTCTCTCCTCTCCCAAGTGTTACTGCTGCATGGCCAATTCCCACACCCAACCTGTCAGATAAGAAATAAAAACCCTTGCTGGTCTGAGAAGAGAGCTCAGGAGTGGAGAGCTAAGCTGAAGTCCAAGAAACTGCTGTTTCGAGGCAAAGAGAAGCAAGATGCTACCACCGGGCACCCTGCAGGCCTGATAGGGGAGCAGGCCTCTCTGCTCCTGTTGCCGGGCTTCTGCTCCAAGAGGCAGGCGCAGACTCAAGCACCTTCAAATAAAGATGGCCCACCGTCATCTCAACCCCTCCCACACAGAGAACGACAAACCACGGTACTATATCCTGAGCAAAGAAAACCATAGGTTATGTACTTATTCACGCACAAGCAACACAAGACAATTAAAAACAGAACAGAAGGTCCCTTCCAGAAGCATAAATAATAAACAACAGGGAGAAAGCTTCTCTCCTGCCCGCTGTGGTAAAGAACAGCACCCAGCGGTGCTTCCTCGGAGGCCTCGGAGGGTGGAGTGCTGTTTCAATGGTTTTCACCAATCAGGTCATCGTGCTCCTTCCTCGGCGATCTTCCCGTGCTAACTCCAACACGTTAAAATGTGCAAATAATAAATACTTCAGTGTAAACAAAGGCAGTATTAGATCAGAAAGGATGCATATTTCACATTTACCATTGGTAATTGTCAATGAAAGAATCTAAAGCACCTTAATGAGACCCCACGAATGACAGCTCAGAACGTTTTCTTCCAAACATCCCGTGGCTTTCCTACGTCTGATTTGAGTCGTTTTTGAGACAGAGTCTCCAGCATGAGTCTGGCTGGCCTTCTGATCCTCCTGTCCCCATCTTCTTTCTTTCTTTCTTTCTTTCTTTCTTTTTTTTTAAACTTTATTTAACCTTATTTCATGCACATTGATATAACGATGTTAGATTCTCTGGAACAGGGGTTACAGACAGCTGTGAGCTGCCATGTGGTTGCTGGGAATTGAACCCAGGTCCTCCGGAAGAGCAGTCAGTGCTCTTAGCCACTGAGCCATCTCACCAGTCCCCCCCCCCCCCCCCCCATCTTCTTTCTAATTGGTAGGTTGTGGCCACGGACCAACGTGCAGAGCTGCAAACGCTGCTTTTGTTCGATGCGTACAATTAATCTCACTCCCCGTGCAGCACCGATTATTTGCATATTCATGTGCAAATACAGGAAAAAACGGTGGGATTGTCTCCTTTTACTCAGCTAAAAATGACACCGGCAGCAAGAGAAAGGCCACAGAGCAAACACGAAGTTTGCATCCACCTGTGGCCTTCAGAAAGCACAGCTACGCAAACTTTCCACCTCAGGAGACCAGAAGCATCATTCCAGAACTAGAGGGTGTCCATGAGACCATATTCATGCTATCAATTTACAGGAAAAACGGGCTTTACAGACGTTTAGTTACTTGAAGCCACATATCTGGTTGGCAGCAGAGTTAGGCACAGAATCTCTATCTTTTGTTTCTACAGTCCCCACAGTGACACCACTCAACAGGTGGGCAGGGACCTCTTGAGTGAGGCGTGTGTCCTTCTAACAGGGGTTTCAGAAAGATTTGCTTGTCCCTTCTGTAACAGAAATTTACAGGCAACCAACAGCTGTCTTACAATGACACAATTCATGACCCTGAGTCTGCCGATGCCTTCATCTTGAAACTGTCATTGTTCTATATGATAGGAAATGGCTTCAGCGCGATGTCAAATAACAACAACGTGTAGGGTCCAGGTGAGACGGGAAACTCTGATGTGTTTGTCATGTCTGTAAGTTCTGTGCCGAGGTCTGGATGCAGTTTCATCTTTCCCCTGTTTTAAGACAAGGTCTCTTATAGCTCACCTCAAATTCATTTCCTTGCAGAGGAAAACCCTGAGCTTCTGGTCCTGTCTCCACTTCTGGAGAAATGGGATTATAAGTACATTCTACCAAGTCTGGGTTTGCACACATCGTTCTTGCCTATTTCCCCAATCTTTGATGAATGTCAAGTTGCTGGATATTGGATATCTGGACTGTGGGTAAACAAGGTTTTAAACTTATTGTATTTAAAGGAAAAGAGAAAAAAGTTCATTTTAAAAAAAGGCAGGAGCAGGGGAGGAGAAAAGGTTCTGAGCCAATACTGTAGACAAATGTTGAAGTACTCCCCCCCCCACACATTAATTACATTTGAAACATTTGGAAGCCACAGATGGTGATAACTGCCATTGAATCACTCAGGTTGACACTGCAGTGGGTGAGCAGTAAGGACAAACCGACCTCTCCAGAGACTAGGGTATTCCTAACTAACAATCCATCCCCCCTCACACTGGGACAGTGGAGTTTAAACTGTGAGGAAGCAGAAGCCAAGACAGCATGGGAAGAGGCCAACTATGAAGGATCTTGGTGTGGGAGGGTTATCTCACAGTACTGGATGCTGTGAGCTTCTATTCTGGATCCTTCTTTTACGATGCAATAGCCTTCTTCTGAGTAGCAATATCTTTTTCTATTTGTCTTCCTTTAGCTAAACCAGTAGTGCATGAGCTATGGAGGAGAAGGGGACACTGTCACTTATTCATCTGCCCGCATCCAGTCTTCACCAGACCCACCACCTGCTCAGACAGACAGACAGCAGTGACCAAAGGCGAGCAGAGCTCAGGCTCTGCTTTACATAGATGTCGCTTAGTTTCTCACAGGTTCTAAACACACTCCGAAAAACTTTGTCTCCCGAGCAAAGAGGCCCTAACACCACCTTAACATGGTCTGAGAGACTGGAAGGATCCAAATCTGGCCTTACGCAGCATTAGTGGCATTAATCAGCCATATGAATTCTAAGGACCTCATGATCAAATACCATATCCCTTATTATTAAAACAACCCAACGGAAGATTGGCTCAATTTTATGAAATGAAAAACAGAGGTTCTAAGAGATTAATGTTCTAAAGATCAAGACAGCACTAAGCCTGGAAACGTGGACCCTTGGACTCTCGTGCCTGGGTTTATTCCTGCTGCTTCCTGATTAACTCTGCACTGAAGGATTTGTCTCTAAAGGCCAAGGCTAAGAGCGTGCACTTGTCTGAACACGCCGCAGGCCCTTCTGATGCACAAGGCTCTGGGTTTATGTGGCACTGGGATCAAACCAAAGTCTTGGGCATGCTAGGCATGCTGGGTAGTTTGTCAGCCTGACACAAATTAGAGTCACCTGGAAGGAACAGCCTCCTTCAGATTGGCCTGTGGCATGTTTGTGGCAACGTTTTTTTTTAATTTTTTTTAATTTATGGTTGACATGGGGGGTGGGCTCAGCACATTGTGGGTGGCGCCACCCCTGACAAGGCCCTGGGTTACACAAGAAAGCAGGGTGAACAAGTTATGGGAAGCAAGCCAGCAAGCAGTACTCTTCCATGGTCTCTGTTTCAGTTCCTACCTTGAGTTTCTGCCTAGACCATCCTGAGAATGTGAGATGGAATATACCCTTTCCTTCCCAAGCTGTTTCTGGCCGGCATTTTATCACACCAACAGGAAACAATTTAGGATGCTGGGCAAACACTCTACCAACTAAGCTACACCCTAGCCTTAAATTTCACTTTACTAAATGTTCCAACGAGTCTAAATAATATTGCACTCAATATCAATAAAACTGGCTTTAGCTCACGGACTATATAACAGATAAAAACGGTGTGGTAAGGGCGTCTGCCCATGGCTTTGCTAAGTCCCAGTGGAGGGGACAAAGGGTCTGCAGTCAACCAAATGTCTGCTGTGGGATCAGAGAACAGACGGCATTTCAGTTGTTAAAAACAGAAGGCCGAATCCAGCTAGAGCTTCAAGGGGTTAAACAAGTACTACTTGGGAAAACACAATCTCTGATATTAAAAAGAAATTACCCAAATCAAACAGAGCTGTCCACCAACTACCGGATATAAAGGTCTTCATCGGGCTTTCAAAACCGAAGTGACTGCAGGGTTAGAGCAACGGCAGCATAGCTGATCAACGGGGAGAAACACCCCATAAGCAAGAGCTCACAGGGACTTGATATACATGAGGGCCATTGCCCGGAACTGCGGGGAAGAAAATCACCAACAACTGGTAACATCGAGTCCAATTCGCCCTTAATCACCTACTTCAGAATAAAGGCATTCTGGGGAGTGGTGTGTGCGTGTGTGCATGCGTGTGTGTGTGTGTGTGTGTGTGTGTGTGTGTGTGTGTGAATGTAATAACACACATACCTGCTTCGTCATAGGATACCGTCAACTTTTCCAGCATTTCTCGGTCTATGGACAGGATCTGCTGCTCCAGAATGCTTTGGTAAGACAGAACACTGTTTTCTTTGTCTTTCTCATAATCCTGAAGATGCTGCTTCAGCGCCTCTGGGAGCCTTGATTTTACGTATTCGGCTGCAGTCTGTGGGTAAACAGAGAACGTCATCAATACCTCTCGCCTTAGGTTTTCCTTTACCTTCAGGGTCTACAGCGAGAACTCAGAGCACTTCAGGTCCAGCCGCCAGACACACATCTTGCCGCTGTGAGTCTTAGACTGCACAAGTGCAGTAAGATGTATCTTCACTCTGTCAGACCCCAGACCTCTTTGAGTTTTCTATCTCGTTTAAAAGACGATGGATTCCAGGTTTACAGAGTTAGTACTATGAGCTGAAGGCCAAAATTAGGATATGATTGGTGGTCCATACTTGAAAACCCAGTACAAGGTCATCCTGGCTATAACTGTGAGTTCAAAGTTGGTCTAGGCTATATGAAACTGACTCAAAAACCAACAAATATATCAAAAAATCCACATCTGCGGCCACTAAGAAATTTCAAAGACCCTGATAATGATGATCAATCTAGTTTGGGCCAAGAATAAAGCAAAGACCCGTCCACATAGTTTATAGTCTAAGTCCTGTTAATTGTGAAATATTTAAGGTATGGGCTAAAATTAAATAAAAATCCCTCACATTCATAGACTAGAGGAATATTATTATTAGCCAAAGTGATCCATGGATTCAGTGCAATCCCTGTCCACAGTGATCTATGTATTCAATGCAACCCCTACCCAAAGTACCAAAGATATTTATCACAGCCATAGAAAAATATCCTAAAATTCATATGAAACACAATCTCAAATATGTAACATTAACAATTTTGATTTCCAGATTGTAGAAGCCAGAGGGGTCAAGGACACCACAAGAAAACTCACAAAAATCTACTAACCTGGGCTCATAGGAACTCACAGGGACTGAACCAACAACTGGGGCACCTGCATGGGACTGACCAAGGCCCTCTGTCACAGCTGTGTAGCTCGGTCCTCTTGTGGGACTCCTAACAGTGGGAACAGGGCCTGTCTGACTCTATTACTGACTTTTGGGACTCTACTCTTCATACTAGGTCACCTTGCCCAGTCTTAATAAATGGGGAGGTGCTTAGTCTTACTGCAACTTGATATGCCATGTTTTGTTGATACTCATGGGAGATTTCCCCTTTCCAGAAAAAGAAACAGAGGAACGGGTTGGGGGTTAGGTGGGGTGAGTAAGAAGGGGTATGGGAGAGAGAGGCTGGGAGGGCAGGAGGGAGGGGAAACTGCAGCCAGGACGTAAAATAAATACATAAATAATTAAAAAAAATACAGGAAAAAAGAAAACAAAAACAAGCAGCTGATTTTCTAGAACTAGAATCCATGGTGGTTATCGGGGTGGGTAGTGGGGGATGGAGTGGGAGTTATTGTTTTTTTAAAGAATATCTTCTCATTAGATTGGAGAAGAAAGTTTCAATAGTTCCATAAAGAGGGGTGACCATAACTAATACTGGTATATTGTATTCTGAAAAGTGAGCGTGGCTGTTGTGTATGACGTGGTCATCACTGAAAGGTAATTTTTGTTCATTTATTTTGTTTCGTTTTGAGACAGGGTCTTCCTCTGTAGCCCTGGCTGGTCTGAAACGTGCTGTATAGACAAGGTCAGGCTTAAACTGATGGATCTCCCTGCTTCTGTCTCCTAAGCACTGGGATCAAAGGCATGGACCATGGCACCCCGCTGGTAATGTCAGTCAGTTAGGGTTAACCATTCAACAGTGGATATAATTTCTGTCAATTGAAAAGAAAAACAAAATATGTGTACTTTAAAATATAAACATACATGCATATATATGTCTTGTGACTCAATACAAGGTCAGAGAGCTTCTCTGTTTACAGAATAAGATGATCTATATTCTTTGGAAAATATACAACAGGTGCTATGTATTGGCCAGGAAGAAACCATGAAGGGCTGATATGGTTAAAAGCAAAGCTATTGAACACAAGAGATGCACATCTCTTCCATGTAAAGCACACACTCCTACACATCAGTATGACGAGACAGGGAAAGATACATCCCAACCGCAGAAGGTACTTCCTCCTGCCTCTATTTCAGGAATGCTCTCACGGTGGTTTCAGTACTGTCATTTAAATTGTATTTTCTTGTAACCTTCCATAGCTTTCCCCTTAAATGTTTCCATACCTTACTGTGGAAGGAAACTCTCTGGACAAAGACAACTGGCGTCCCAGAAGGTATATATACTGGAGAGTGGCGGGCAAGCTGTGTTTGGACCACAGAGCCGCTAACAGTAGCGTCCAACACTTATTTCCAGATTCACAGTTGAATTCCCTAAATCAGATGCTGAGGATGTTACAGCTTCAAAATATCACCAAACAGTGCTCACTTTCTCTGCCAGCCAGCAAGTGCAGAACAAATAAAATTATTCCATAAAATGTAAATGAACTCGGCAGTACATTAGCATAACACATTGAATTCTAGATTTTATTAACAAGTTTCTCCTGACATTAGACAACAGCATCCTGACCCTGCAGAATAACTACATTTAAACACACTACCCTGCGAGTCAGTCAACATCTGTCTTTAACAGTTGTGTTTGTTGGAATATTTATGAGACATGAGAAAGGGCCCTATAATTTATCACATTTTAAAATATTGATCTAGTCTTTATTACTGAAAGCACACCACATTATTTCCTCCCAGTTGTGCCCCCTGACGGTGTTTAAAATGGAATTTACTCTCCTAATTCCAATCAGGCTGCGGGTCTCAAGAGTTTCTGTAGCGCACGCTATTAGGGCTACACTCTGGCATTTCAATTCTGCAACTTCACATACACAACTCTTGCTAGAGATTCATCAGAGGAACAGAAGGAGCCAACTCTCAGCAAATATTAGATCCTGGTGCAGTATTTCAAGGACCCGCTTTACGCCGAGTGACACTTCAAATGGATTCGAACGGCAGCTAGCCCTTATGTTCCAGCAGACGCTTCTGTTCAAAGCACATTTTTAAACGAGACGGGAATGATCTCATAAATAAAAGAAAACTCAAAGAATAGTCTAAATTCAATTTTTTTACCGACATCCTAAAAATGAACTGGAAAAAATTAAAATATGGAATTACTTATCTACTCTTTATTTCCTTTGAGATTTATTTATTTTATGTGTCTGGGTATTTGGCTGCTCTTGCCGAGGACTGAAGTTCAGGTCCCAGCACCCACATGGTGGCTCACAACTGTTGTCTATAACTCCAGGTTCAGGGAATCTGATGCCCTCCTATGGACTTCAGCAATCAGGTACACACGTGGTGTAAACAAGGACACACAGGGCAAGCACTCATACAAATAAAACAACAGAGAGAGAGAGGGAGGGAGGGAGGGAGGGAGAGAGGGAGGGGAGAGAGAGAGAGCAGCAAGTGCTTTTAATGGCTGAGCCTCTCTCTCACCCCACAGATGAACCTTTGAGAAAGTTTCATTTCTGATATTGAAGGTCTGTCTAGAGAAAGGCTGACTCAGTTGTTGGACACTTATGCAGTGGGGCATCATGCAGCTGCTAGATGTTAGGAAGAAAAACTCACATGAGAACGTGTTCACAGGAAAATGAAGGCCTTACAGCGGTGTATTTACTACCTCTGTGCGGGGGGAAAGGGGCTGCGCCAACGGGCATCACTTGTTATCTCGGTAGTAAGCGTCCAGGTGGCTTAAAGGAGTTTTCTGTATTTACTTTTCTGCATATTCCAGATCCTATAAGAATATCCCTCTGTGCGGGTACTAGTCTGGCTATTGTAAATGTATCAAATGTGTATTTGATTCACAACTGTAATGAGTTTTAAGGATAGGACAACAGGCTGACAGAGGATAAAATTAATTTATACTTGGTTACACAGTGAGCTGCTGAAACTAGATTTTACACACACACACACACACACACACACACACACACAATTTTAAAACAGGAAACAATGTTCATTTGACAATTGTGTTACCAGGTAAAACAACCCCAGAACGGGATCAAGGCAATGAGAACCCACGAGCCAAGTGTGGTGGCAGGTGGGAAAGAGATATTTAAAGTAAATTTAATTTTCCCAAACTGGATGCTGACATTCAGACGTTAAGCACGATGAGAGAGAGAGTGAAAATGGACGTCACACCTGTCTGTCGGCATTCAACAGCAAATCTCAAAGCCCCACCCCACATCAGTGATCACTAGGGCCACCACCTGCAACCCCCGTCCCCAAATCTCCACAAGCGAAGGGTGTTTGACTACTATAACTCTGAGGGAAAATGTCAGGTCAGTGAGTCTCGTCAGTTTCCAGGAGGGCAAAGTTGCTTTTGGTAAGCGACGGGGAATAAAATCCTGATAGTGCAGAGTCCCCATTAGCAAGAATTTCTAAACCACTTGGTATTTTTTTCCCCTTGGAATTTACAAAGATCAACTGGCTCCTCTTCTCATCCTTTGTGGGTTTAAACAAAATGAAACAGGCTTCAGATATTTCTAACTGAAGTATGAAAACACATGCCATCTGCCAGGTCCCAAGGAAACTCCATTTCCCCAGATTCCAAAAGGCAGTCCAGATATCCAGAAACTCCAGGCTCCACCTGGATGATGGAGGATTCCTGATAATGTTAGCAGCATTCCTCAGGAACTTACGAAGCTGCTAATTCCCTCTACCAAAAGGAGCTGTTTCCCTCCTCAATGGCTGAAGAGACAAAGATTATCTGTGGTGTCTATTAGCGTACCAAAGTTCATGCTAACCTCCAGGTTCCCTCAGGACCACAACTGCACATTTCTGAGTCTATTCTACCCTCCTAGCCCTTCTCACCTTCTCCTCCAACCACAAACTCCCTCCAGCACACCGGCTTCCTTCCCCGTTACTCATTCTCCTTATAATCCTGCTGTTTCCTGTATGTTGGCTCTCCCCTCACCACCCGGTCTCTCTCACCCACCTCTGTCTGTCTGTCTATCTGTCTGTCTGTCTGTCTGTCTCTCTCTCTCTCTCTCTGCCCCTGCTTCTCCTGTGGCTAGGTCCAGCCTGCTGGCTATGCTCAACCTACTTCTTCCTCTCTCTGCTAGGAACTCTTCCAGCTGCCTCTGGGTGTTCTCTT